AACAGGAAGTCCAGGAACGCCACGCGCCGCCGCCGCCCTGCGCATGCGCACAAAGTACGCCAGAAACGCTAGTAGCAGCAGCAGGTCCAGGAAAGCAACGAGCCACCTTGCGCATGCGCACACACTACGGCAGCACGTGCAAAGCAAAGGAGTCGAATGCACTGACCATATTTCTTTGACGCCACGAAGCATTCCCCCACAAAACACTGGAGGAGCTAGCAAGTAAGAGTAGTGGATTGTCTCAGGAGTCCCTAAAATAGCTGTAAGCTCTACCACTTCTCACGATAACTTTTCGAAGGACCAGTATGTTTGGGAACGAACATGCATTCTGGGGGGTTCTGAAATTGAAATATAATGCTCTAGGGAAATTACTATCATTCTGGCTAACTCATAAGGTACTACTTCAATTAAGAAAAATATAATTGAAATCAATAAATGTTCACATAGTAAATTAGTTGACTGAGAATTAACTCTCTTGCAAATAGTTATTTAAATAACTTGAAAAAACATTGTAGGTGTTTTTTATGATTAACTTCATCTCAGAATAAATGATAATTAATACGGAATTGCGATATTAATTCAGAGCAGTATGCATTGAACATGTAGAAGCAAACGAAAGATGAGAAAGAAAAAATATTGATGTCATAGCTGCGTTATAAACCCCACGCGAATCAGAGTATCTTTCCGATAGCCGAGACGAGGTCACGCGTTCCATTAACCTGAAGGCTTAACTGATGCGCCTGACAGCATGAGGTGCAGCGGCGCCACAGAGCATCACAGTATAGCTGAGAACTGACACGTAATTGTTGCAAATAAGCTGCATGGCAAGCGACACATTAATTAGTATTTACTAGGCTGTCCGGGTGACGCCGCGTCCATGGCGAAGGTGGCGACGTTTCGGTCACCATTCTGTGACGGTCACTTCTGAGGAAGGTCGCAGAATGGTGACCGGAACGTCAGCACCTTCTCCATTGACGCGGTGTCACCCGGACAGCCTAGTAAATTCTGACTCCGGCCGCGGAAGCCTACGCTCTGACACATTCATTATTATGGTGAGAAACATGAGTGGTACCGAAACCAGTTTGTCCCTATGCAGATCGGGATATGTACGCCGCGTTCACACTGGTTCGGAATAGCCACTTGATCTCATTAAAAGTATCTGGCTCAAATATGAATTGTTTATGAGTTTAAACGACAGTCGTGAGACATTGCGTAACGCATAACAGGAGAAATTTTAACACAGTCAATCTCGTATCAATTAACAAAGAATTTGTTGGGAATGCATGATACACTGCATATAAGTTGAACGGCTGCCTTTCACATGCATTTTCATTGTCTATTGGGCAGTAAATCAGCACAGATACCGTTTATGAGTTCGAGTGACAACTACTACATAATGTATCACACGTGAGAATACTATTGAAAGATTATTTTACAGTTAATTAACAAAGAACTATCTGTATGGGCATAGTACATGGTGCTCAAGCTAAATATAAGCCTCATACGTGCACGTTACACATTACTGCAGTAATTGGCATGATTTGTAAGTTAATAAGGGGGAGCGGGGGCACACGTTTGACTCACGGGACGGATCGAAAGCGATTGGGAATGCGTTAGCGCGGCGTGGTTGGACGACAGATACGCGTGGTTTGTCTCGCTGAGCCAATGAATACTGTAATCAGATCGTTATAACTAATGAGCTATTTTAAATTACAACTTACAATAAGGGGTGGATGGACATAAAGCAAATTATAAACTATGAATTTTGGCAAAGATTATGAAACTAATATTGCAGTAGTCGCCCGCGCACCCTTGAAGGAGCCGCCAAAACAGTTCCAACGCCACTCAAGAGAGGGCGACAGCAGCAGCCGCCGCGGAGCCATCTCGCGCGCCTCCACCCTTACCCCGGGGCTAGCCAGTGGAGCCTCAGCCCCAGCGCGGTATAAAGCGGCGCCCTAGCGAGTAGAAAGTGGTGGTCAGTCAGCGCCTACCGGCAGTATAGTGAATGCGTGCGATGTAGTGATTAGTGGCAACGAAGCGGCCAAGTTGAACGGACTCTCTCTCTCTCCTGGACGGTAAAATCGGGACGACTACAACGACCATCGGACATCATCCTGGTTAACGGCGATTTTGGCTTCCCCTGGTACATCCCCTCGAACATTGTAAAACTCTCTAGTGAATGGTTACGCTGTACGTGTGTAAAACTGGAATAAATCTGCATTTATGAAAAGTACGTTTTTATTGAACATAACAAATATAAGTTCATTGCATTTGTGCAACAGTTTTCTGAGAGCCTGAGTGCCTCGTGCAGCTGTACGCTTGAGAATACGTGAGCAGAGAATTCTGGAAATGCTTGAACAGGGGAGCGCCCGCATAGATTACGTAATCTCATGTAAGTGAAGCGTTGCATCTTAAAATGATTGAAACATAAAATACAGAATACAATACAATTGGCATTATGATTGTACAATACTCAATTGCTGTAATATGGAAAGACGTGCTGTTACGTTAGAGCTTAATTGATATGTTTATAAAATAATGTATTAAATGTATAAACTTGTTGTGACAAAGTAGATCACGAAACACTCAACACAAAAGGCATGTTCCTCGGAAGTAAGCACGATTAATTTCCGAGATATCAGGTATTTAAATTCTCATACCAAGAGCTGAATATGTGACTTTCCGTAAGTTAAGCAACTAATTAAATTGGACATTTTTTTTCATGAAATTTTTAAGAACCATAAATTGAAACAAAGTAATAGAATTTCCTTTTTTTTAGTATTTGAACAGTCAATGGAATATCACGTAACAGTAATTAATGTATGGCGATATAGATTGTTTTCTTGATTTTTCAACCAACCAATGTCGTCGATTTCCATTGCAGAGTGATCATGGTCCTTGCCCATTTTCAGTAGTTCTTCTCTTCTTTCCCTAATTACCTGCAATGTTAAAATTAACTATTGAACATTTTTTTGTTTATCAAGGAAAAGAAAGAGGGAAAACATTTGAACATCGTTCCCTACCCTATCAGTTGTTCCATGTAGCACTTCTAAACACTTCTTGTATCTGCGACCAGGTGTTGTCATATAAAATATGAAGTCTAGGTGCAGCCACGGCCGAAGCGCGCGCCTCGCGGTAATTGTTGTGATCCTGTGGGAATAAAATATAATGTTATAAGTGATATGATTGTTTGGTACTAAAGGAAGGATGAGAAGTAATTGAAAATTACCTCAAGATATTACCAAGAATAAACATTTGCGGTAGCCTTGAAGCCGATCTAGTGATTTTATTTTCCCGTATAAATGCATAGTTAAACTGCGAAACACAACATAATCGTAGGAAATCTATCTGGAAATTTCTCCGGGATTCGAAATCAATGCATAATAAGGTTTCCGAATCTTTAGCTCCTCATCCCTTTCCCATAATGAAGAATGTGACTTTGTATATACATTCATGTTATGACTTTGTATATACATTCATGTTATGACTTTGTATATACATTCATGTTATGATTGCATATATATGCACTCTAATAATGCATGTAACGGTGGTTGTTACCCATAATGTTATGGTGATTCACCTCACCGTGGTTTGTAAAAGTTGATTCATCAGAAAATAGTGCAGGAGCAAATTGCTGGTTCATCTGCATTTTCTCAACTGCCCATTCACCAAATGTTAGTCGGTATTGAAAGTTATCGTTATTTAATTCTTCATGCATGGACACATAATACGGATGAAACTTATGTAACTTCAGTATCATCGAAACACTAATTCGAGGAATTCAAGATTGCTGCGATATTTCTCGGACATTCGCATGGGGATAATGACCCACAGCGGCTAGTACTGCTATTTGATTACTTTCTCCACAGACAGTAGCTGCACGATTTCTTGTCGTCTGTTGTACACTTCCTTCCGTAAGAAACTCTAACAAATGAAGAACACGATCGTACTCTTCTAGGAAAACGCCCAGCTTACAAAATGACGGATAGTCAAAATTTCTCCCACATTCGAGATAAATGAACATCATTTCAATTTCTCTTCATCAGTTACCTAATTCATGATGCTGATCACCACTGACTGACTTGTCCACCACTACTAAAAGCTGAACTGGCGCGGTCTCCGCCAGCAACCTTTTTATACAGAAAATAGTTGAGTGTGCGCCTCCCGTGGCGTCTTCATATTGGCCGCGCGGAATCGAACCCGGGATTGCACCGTGGAAAGCGAGCACCTAACCATCCAACTAACCAACGAGACACAGAAGGATATTATATATAGTGACACTCCCACTACTACCCCTATTATTATTATTATTATTATTATTATTATTATTATTATTATTATTATTATTTTTAATATTATTATTTTTATTACTCGACTATATTTAAGTAAGCTCGAATTTTAACCAAAGTTGATTGTCAAATATTGAATATAAATTACAAATATTATATAAAATACAAATATTATTGAAATACATATTTTAATGTCTGTTTTAATTAGGTTCGAAAACTATTACAATTCAACAGTAATTACATTATTGTGTTACCTTTACATCTGTTCAATAAAGTACTACATGAACCGAAAACCAGAGGAGAGAACTCAGGTTTTTAGCACTTACTCGTTTACAGCTTGTACGTAGGCTGAATTTGCATCATTTTGAGCGTTCATCTTGACTCCCATTGCAGTTTCTGAAAAAATAAATAAGTTACAAAAATAGACAACTAGTAAAGCTACAGAACACAAATATTCTCAAATTACTAAGTTTCATAATTTCTTTGATTTGGACTTGCTTTTCAATCTTACCCCACCCTTTCCCCAGCTGAGATATACGAAAACACAGTTTGTTCAATTTTTTTTGGTCCTCTAATAGTAGATTTAAAATAAGACGAATAATAATGTCGAAGAGTAAAAAATTGTCATGAAGGCAAATATTGATTAAAAATTTTGGAGAAAATATCGTTTGACTGCTTCTGAAAATATGCAATTTTGACCTCATTTTCACTGAGTGTTGAAACTCAAAATGAAATCATTAGAAGCATTTGTTCTCACAAATACAGTAAGGAGTTAAAAACGCCCGTAATACAAAAATTAATGTCTTAAGAAATATTTTAAAATATTTGTTTAATGTTTTTTAAATCCAAACAATTCATAAAAATGTCGTTCATGTCATGTTATTCAGAACAATTAGCATTTCCGTACAAAATATTTAAAGAAACTAGAGCTGTTACCCAAGAACATACTTTGATTACCCGCTTTCCTGTTTAAAAACGTCACATTTGAATGGTACAAGAGCTTCAACTCTGTTTGGAAAGCGCGCTCTACGCAGACACAGTAAGGAAATTGGCGGATAGAGTTCGCTATGGTCGGACGCCGGTAGGAGTTGCTTCCCGACGAACGAGAGTTCCGCATAGACAGGCGACATGAGATGATGAACAAGCTGAGAGACGTTCTGTGCTACAAGATGCTACAAGATGGACCATATGTTCCGAAAAGCGAAATTCACCACTCCATATGAAAGGAGATAAATAGATTTCTCATAAATATGCATGGATTAAGTGAGGAACTAGTGAATTTTTGCACGCCTTAGCGGGAAGCAATCGACTGCAATCTCGATCTTTTTCGCATGCGCAAAAATAGGGAGTTTGCGCCACCTCGAATGTTAAAACACTATCGATCTTCTCCGCATGCGCAGAAGGACAAAAATAGGGAGTTTGCGCCACCTCAAATGTTAAAGCACTATCGATCTTCTCCGCATGCGCAGAAGATCAAAAATAGGGAGTTTGCGCCACCTCGAATGTTAAAGCACTATCGATCTTCTCCGCATGCGCACCTTAAGTTCTGCACCACTTAAGTGCATCTGCGCAGGCGCAGAAAATCGATAATGTTTTCCGCTATGGCATGCACAAACTTCTTAACGATGCGAAACTTGAACTGCGCATGCGCAAAGATCGATAGTGCTTTTGACTGTTTTAACGTTTGGATGTGCAAAAACTCCCTATTTATTACGAAACGGAGCAGGAGACACGTTTAGCGTATCTTACCGGGCGAGGTTGTCGATGCGTGCAGGAGTCATTAGAAGAGAATAGGAAGTCATGCACGTTTGTTCTCTATTTCTTTCATTTTATAGTGTGCCGATTATTTCCTTTATAATAGATATTACTAATGTTTTTGGCTATCGAAATAAACGCAGAAATGCGCCACAGGCTCTTTGTTTATTTGACTTTTTCAAGTTCCAACTGAGGTTTTAGTGTGACATAAATTACAATATTTCAGTATTGTGTAGTAACTATTTCAAATAACGCGAGAAAGTATGTGATGTTGCATCACCTCTAGTTGATATTAGAGAAGATGTTTTTTTTCTTTAAATACGCGAAAACTCAATACTACTCGAAAATGACTAATATGTAAACATGTCTGTGTTGTTAATAAAAGAACTAATTATGGAGAACAGTTTTTTATTTCAGAAAAGGTCTCTATCTTCAATAATATTGTTGTATGAGAGGGACCAAAAATTTCAATATTCGTAAATTCCAAGTTAATGGGGAAAATGGTATCTATGTTTCTTGAGACAGAGTACTTTTTACAATCAGATATACACTCAATTATTCTTCTCGAGAAGGTATCATATCGTTGATCTCCCAGTCCAATATTGTATCAACTGCAGTTAGACCGAGTGCAGTTAGACCAGTTGGCAACCAGAAATCATTCTAGACGAGTTAAGTGATATCTTCCGCTTCGGATTTTAAGTCGGCAACGTCGACGTAAAACGAGGAAGAGAGGGAGCTAAGGCTCGCAGGTTGGGAGGTATGAGGATAAGGGGGAGGGGGGAAAGGGGCTCACCAGAGAAAACGAATGAACAGCTTGACGAACTGCAAGTGGAAATTGGCTACGCTGGATGAGAGGTAAGCAGAGAAGTGAGGTTAAGAGCGAGGCTCACCGAACATGTCAGATTAAGTAACTTGACAAGCGTAATGTTAAAGGTGACTTCGAGGTAAGAAGTGGGTTAAGAGCGGAGCTCACCGCAGATGACGTCAGAGTGAGTACGTTGACAAGCAGCCTGTTGAATGTGACTCCGCCGCGAGGGGGGTAAGAAGAAATACGGCGTAAGTGAGAAGGGCTTACCGCAGATGACGTCGAGGGTGAAGAGCTTGACGAGCGGTAAGTTGAAATTGGCAGTGGAGGTAGGTAAGAAAAGAAACAAGATACGTATGAAGAGTTCATCGTAGATGACGTTGAGTCTGAGGAGCTTGATGAACGGCAAGTCGAAAGTAAGAGAGGCTCACCGCAGATGACGTAGATTGTGAGGAGCTTGACGAGTGGAGAATCGAAGGTGGCTCCGCGAGGAGGGAGACAAGAAGAGAAGCGGGGTAAAAGAGGGGTCACCGTAGAAGTCGAGTGTGAGGAGCTTGACGAGTGGAGAGTCGAAGGTAGCTCCGCGAGGAGGGAGGCAAGAAGAGAAGCGGGGTGAAAGAGGGCCTCACCGCAGATGACGTTGAGTGTGAGGAGCTTGACGAGCGGCAAGTCGAAGGTGGCTATGCGAAGAAGGAGGTAACATGAGAAGCGGGGTAAGAGAGGGGCTCACCGCAGATGACGTCGAGTGTGAGGAGCTTGACGAGCGGCACCACGTCGAAGGTGTCGCCGCCCGCGCGCTTCCGCAGCTGCCGCACGAACTCGTCCCCGCAGCTGAGGAAGACGGGCGCGAACTGCTCCAGGATGCGGAAGTGGAACGCTGGCGTCAGCGCCTTGCGCCGCGATCGCCATTTGTCGCCTGCGCACAAGCAAACGCACGGTTAAATGACATAACAATCTCTTTGCCACTCCCGTAATTTTGCAGTCAGTTACGAAATACTGTAATACAACAAATATCCTGCCTAGATTACAGTTTTCGTTTGAAAATCCTCTAAGCGATTAAAGAGTTCTCATGAAAATACATATATTTCTAACTCTTTTACAAAGTGAATAGTTTAATTAAATATAGTTCTTTTGATTGTTTTTTAGAGTATTGATTTTGTTCAACCGCTGGAATATTTTGAAGCTACAAAAACAGTTGACATTGTTTCTTTGGAATGAAGATTACTGACTGCTGTTGATCTAAGTGTATTAAGTGTTGCAAAGCATATTGTTTACCACGTAAGCATAAAAACGTCCATATTTCTTATAAATATAATAATCACTTTAAGTAAAATACTAGCACAAAGTTAGGCATGGAAGAAATGAAATAGGAAAGAAATTTTCGAGACATGAAAATACTTTCGAAACAGTTTACAGAGTAGCCGACGCCATAAGCAACTTCTATTGTTCTATTCCTCAAAACTTCTCGTTTGTGCACGAATTACTCGTCATTCCCACATTATATTATACAAAGCGAAATGTTTCGTTTTCACATTTAATTCCATGAAGTGACACAGTTAACTATACATAGATTTAATAATTAAATAATATTTAACGTAATCGTGCTGAATAAAATTCGAATGACACCCTCCAAGCACCTTTCAAATTACATTGCCTTTGAAGTGACAGCGCCTGAAAACAAACATTAGAATTGACCATCTCAATTTTCAAAAATGCAGAGTGCGTCGAAAATGGGAACATTACCACTTCCTTTACCGTTCTTTACTACAAACGTGAAAACAAAGAAACAATTTAGACCTGTTTTGGGGAAAATAATTGCACAAAATTTTAAAAATTGCCTGTTTCACACCTTATTTCGCAAAAAACTCATATTTTCGAAAAATTGAACATGGCCTTATTTGAAGATTTGTTTTTGATTAAAACATTTCATTAGGAATTTTTTCCCTAATTGCAGTTGTAGAAAGAAATTGAATTTTTACAGTTTTCGAAAAATCAGGAATTTTAACGAAAATGTGGCCTGCACCATTCTCTTAAACGTCCTCCACACTATCGATAAAAAATTAATAAAAAATATGGTGCCATTTTTGAAAACTTTGAAACTGTCCCAGGGGATTCATGTAAAATATCTCCCAAAACTAAAATATGGATTAAATTCAAGGAGCCATGCCAGCAGCCAGATCATATTTCCAGGGGAATATCAATTTTGGTGAAAGTTCTGATTACGGTTTAGTTATTAGCGTGGATTAGGCAGATGAACGGACAGACGTTTTGTCGTGAATCGATTTTTTGCATGATAAAGCTTCAAAACCAGTCACTGTTAGTTGGTCTATGACATTTTGATTTTTAGTAAATTCTTCATTAATATATTTAACAGCGTTTAACATTGACTGGATTCTTGGGTATTTGATAGGATGTAATTTACTGTTCACTTTACTGTTTTGGTAATTTATAACATACTGACATTTTAATGAATATTGAATAAATCGAACCAATTGTTAGAATTTTTTTATCTATATCAGGTAGTTCGTATTAGCACACATTTGAACTCTCTCTTGCTAACAAAATTTATTACCATTTTAGGATTGATTGGTTCGGGATTTTGATAACTGGGATTTATTTTATTTTTTAGGTAATTTCTTTGAAAAATATTGGATTGCAGTAAGTTGTTACCAATTTGGCGCAGCTCGTTATTGTTACTATTCACTTTCAATGTTTTAAGTATTACTTTGTATTGATCTTTTCTGAAGATACAGCGATAAATGAGTTCAATATTAAACATATTCCAAATAAACTACATAAAGAGGAGATTACGACGTCACGTGAAGGCACAAAACAGGTCCTTCCTCTTTTATAACTCCAGCAGTAGATTTCCACTTCGCATGTTGGCAGCGCCCGATCAAAATTGAGCAGTATCGATATTATTCCAGGTATTCAACCTTCAGACTGCACTTGAATTCCCTTGTATTACCACGATTGTTTATTTTATTCACTGACCCACAGCTCGAACTGACATTTTCCCCGCAGCAGATAACGCAGTTTCATGGAATCAACGAAGAGTAGCGTTTGAAACATTCACGAAAACATTTATTCACGCCATTAAAATTGCCTGTAATTGACAAAAGAACATTTAAAGATTATTTTGTGCACATTACATTAAATATTTTGAAGCGAAAAATAACATAAGCAGCTTGTTTTACATGCCACTCTGCGGAGTAAATAACGAGTAAATAACCTAGGACTATTTAAAATAAGTTTGGCAGTACTGCAAAACGGTCAGCACAGCAATAAGAAGTAACACATTGCGGCAACACTACGTTTAGCGCCCCAAATGATTGTAATATCTAGGCCGATAGATGAATAAACATATGTACTTAAGTAGTGAGGACGTTTGAAGCAAACGCTGCGAAGCTGGCTGTTCTCGTGGCGCTGCTCCGCGACTTCGCGTCTTTGATCGTCTTGATGCCAGCACACTAGCAGGGCAAGGCGCAGGCGTTCTGTCTGGGGGGGAAGAAGCGGTCGGGACACGTTCGGGCGTGGTCGGGAAGATTCGGTGACTCCCCACGATAGCCCCAATATCTGGCCAGTCCACCGACGTTCATTCATCGCGCTCTTCCTCTGAGACCCTTCAGAATTTAAGCTCACGGAGTAAGGTTTTACATTACACATACACACTATAACACACACAAACAGCACACCACACCACAAACACAAAGCACAAACACAACACACACACCACACACACAACACACACACACATATATATATATTATATATATTATATATATATATATATATATATATATATATATACATCATTACATTTATTAGAACTCAATTGGTTATGACCCGGTGCAGTTAAGTGACAAAATTTTCAAAAAATTACCAACACTTACATTAATAATAATTAATAATAATAATAATAATAATAATAATAATAATAAGTAATAATAATAATAATAATAATAATAGTACCGTACAATTACAGTACAAGACGAAAAGCAGCATTGAAAAAGTTGCATTGATCGCGTTCACCGCACTTCACTTTCACTTCACTTCACTACACTTACACTACACTTTTTTGCTTTGAATTACATGACCAGGCACTTCACAACACTTCAGCCGACTACACAGCACTTTACTCATTTAATAATCTTGTTACTGTCATCTTGTTTCTAACGTTTTTCTAAAAACTTCGGACACTGAGAGGAAAAAAGCTTCTGAAAAACTGCTGCAGGTTAAAACCTGTTCCAACCTCTAATTGTTCTGTTACAAAAGGGAAAAACTTCAAGATTCTGAATTTTTGTTTCCTTGCTTCGAATTTTTTTTGGCGTGATCGCTTCGGCCGAAATAATTTGGTTTCTAGTATTAATCTGAATTTCCTTCCCAAGCTGGGTTTGACCTACGTACGATTTATAAAGAGCGCAAAGCCTCGCCTTTGTTCTTCATCGTTCCTAGAAGGTTCCATGACTTTTTTGTTGCGTTACTTCTATAGCGTTAAAACTTATTCGCTTTCTCTGTATTCTATCTGATTTCTCGTGGCCTCTCGATTGATCCCAACCACGCAACTCGTTTCCATGAGAGGGCGAACCAGCGTCAGATATGCTTAATCTTGGCGTTTGCAGAACTTTTCTGTTAGTATTCCATTACAAAAATGCAAAGACTTCCACGTTTGTTTTACTGTCTGATTTATATGCAACTCCCACCCTAATTTACTATCTAGATGCAATGGCCTAAAACTTGCATGATGTACTCTTGGGATGATAACCTCACCTAAACGATAGTCTGGTTCCTCATATTTCGGTCCCGCTCAACGTTATTGTTTTGCCTTTTAGATCCATTTAACTCCCATGTCATTTTTTTTCAGCCCAATCACGTAAAATTGCCTCTAGACCACTGCTGTAATGTTTGTTCGTCAGCGCTATCTTTGATTTTTCGTTATATAACACAATCGCTCTGCAAAATAAAAACGCACCTTTGATGTTATGTTCACATGGAGATCTTCTCGTACGCTAAGAAG